TGTTTTGAAGAGAGGGTCTGGAGAACTTTTTGCCTGGGCTGACCCTGAACTGCAATTCTCCTAATCTCATCCTCCCAAGAAGCCAAGATTACAGACATGAGCCACAGGTGCCTGGCCTAAGCATGAGACTTTAACAATATTTAACACTTACTCTTATTGTAGTGACTTGAGAAATACATATTGTATTTCAATTCAAAGGTGAATACCTTAAGAGTGAGGATGGGGAAATGAAAAGAGAATTAACATCCACTGTTAATTGTTTTATATGTTAAGCACTGTCCTATTTTCTATCAACATCTTACAAGGCATCTCACTTAATCCTTCATCTCTTCAGTATAGAAAACATCATACCTATTTTACTGGTGACGAATATAAAGTTCAAACTCAGTAGCAAGTTAAGTCATGTTTGAATGACTCTATGAAGCCCGTGTTTTTTCCACTAGAGCATGACACCATTTCTGGCCTGTACTCTACTCGCTCACCACTCAGGAGTGCCAAGCATAGAGAAGACACACAAATGCTTTTTTTTTTTTTGACATGAACCAAGCTGAATAACTAACAAAAAGGTAGCCTCATGACAATACTTTGCAAATATTGTATGAAAGTCTGGCTCTGTCTTTGGCTCTTAAGGAACTAAAAAGGAAAATAAAGAAATTGGTAAACAATGTCATTGTGAAAGTTGTTTACCTCTGTACATACCACACTGTACCAATGACCAGAATACTAAGAACTTTCTAACAGGCCACACCCATTAAAAAAAAAAGTTTAGATTGCAAACAATGTAGTAAGTTGACTTGTGTGGCTAGATATAAAAAATGGTAACCATAATCTCAAAACAGGGAAAAGATTTTGATAAGCATCTTACTGTACTGCCTATCACTTATTGTATCCTTATGAGCCATGTGCACATCTCATGAATCAGCAACATGCTGGATCCTTAGATAATCCACGTCAGCTGAAGTAAGAGAAATGGGACCAAGTACTGTCACACACGTGTGTAGTTCCAGCAACAGGGCAGCTAGGTGGGAAGATCACTTAGGACCAGCCTAGGCAACACGGAGAGACCACATTTCCAAAAAAGCCAAAACAGTGCATAGTGTTCTCAAGGATTGTGTTATTTCCCTTTAAAAATGTGCATAATTTATACTGCATAAAATCTCTAAATAAAATACTTCTTTTGCTTCAAATAATACAAAAAAATTTTACTGGAATGTAGTAATTTCAGCCAGAAGCCAGTATCTAAAATTCACAAAATTGTTTTGCATATTCTTTCACTACTCAATATAAATCTGATATGTTAGTTACATTTCCTTGGCAGCATTTAAATATGATAACTATAACTTCAAGAGAGTTTTTTATTGTGTAATATTTGCATGCCATAAAAGTAAAACAAGAGGAATCAAACAGTTAATAGTCAGTTAGGGCTTAATATATTATTTAAAATTGTAACTCTAAATAAATAAATGCAGGTTATGCATGGGCCAGTGATAAGCGTGAAAGAGCATGAAACATGCTCAGTGGTAGGGCATGTGCTTAGTATGCATGAGGTCCTGGGTTCAATCCCATCACCTGCCACCACCACCCTTGTTCCTGGCCCCCCAAAAAAATCCAAAGTTGTCCACTTTAGTTCAAATTTTCTTCTTTTTCCTTTCTTCCTTTTTTTTTGCTATGCTGGGCATTGAATACAGGGCCTTGAGCGTTTGAGGTAAATGCTGTGCTACTGAGCTACACCCCAGAGCCTATGAGTCCTAAGTAAAAAGCAAGAAAAAAATTCCCAAATTATTAAATATCTAACTGTTAAATAGGAAGTGTAGTAGGAGACAGAAAGATAAGCAAACCACAAAACAGATTTAGAAAGCTCTGAAAAAGCAGATAATGTGAACTAAAATTTTTAACACTGAAAAGAAGACTGTTCTAGCTCAATCCCATGCTGTTTGATAACACACATAAGTCTTGGTTGTTAAATCTGACAACTGTCTGATTTACTCATATAAAACTCATGAGCTCATATCACTTTAACAATCATCAGTGCACCAATTACTGATGTTAATATCTTTTCTTTAGTTTCTTGCTCTATAATGCCTCAAATTTCCTACAAGTATTTGATTACCATTCATTTTTCACTTCTGAGCACAATTACAAATTCTATGTACTAATAAGTAGACACTGAGCTAAAAATTTCAGAGTCAGATAAAGATTAATTCTCAAAGTACAAGAGGGCTTGTCATGGATTGATAACTTTGGACTATTTTCATTAAGATATCTAAAATATTTAACAAATCCTATTTAACAACAACAAGAAAAAAATTCCAGAACCACTTGACATTCATGGCTTCTCTACAAACATAATTTTTTTCAATCCAAGTACTACATGAAATCCTCCCCCCATAATATTGGTATTTAAATATAATTGTTAAATTTTTAAAGTAAATTTCTCTTGAAAGAAGTTGTAACAAAAGTAGATTTCTAAGATCAAAAACATTGTTATAAGGCAGTAAAGGATTTAAAGAGAACAACTTTACATGGGATAATGTAAACAGGAAGATTTCTTAAAATTAATAAAGGCTATAAATACAAATGAATTTAAAGTTGTGGGGGGAGGCTGGCAGAATTGCTCAAGTGGTAGAGCTCCTGCCTAGCAAGCGTGAAGCCCTGAGTTCAAACCCCAGTACTGCCTCCCCGCCCCCAAAAAGAACAAGTAAATAAAAGGAGATTAAAGTTGTAGGGGGAGAATTTTAAGCTGTTACTAAAGATAGTTGGGGATACCAAGGAGCATCTGTAGATTTCCAAGTCCTGCTGTTAATAACAACAGTGTACCTGGAGAAACAAGGAACTTTTACAAGCAAAACCCCATGAATAGTGTTTAACTCAGTTGGAAAACATTTGTCAAAGGTTTTTGCTTTTTTTTTAAGCATCAATATAGGCCTGGTTGATAATGATTCTGGCTTCAGTTGGTATTAAGCTCCAAAAACTTTAAATGGAGAAGTGCTAGACAACACAGCAAAGTCCATTCCACAACCGGCTCAAACCAGAAAACTATAACTTTCCAAAAGGCTACAGCAAACTCTTTTACTATTTCCCATGGCTATTAACAAGCATGGGTACAGTGCTTCATTTTCCACCCACTAAATTACATACAGCACTAGTGCCATTCAATAGAGTCCACTTGCACCCAAGATCCAGTGTCTAATGACAATCCACCAATCCACAGCAAAGCTCTACAACTTAGGCCCAATATTTGCACAATTTTTCAATAAGGCTACATAAGACACACACATTGTAAAACTACTTATTCCAAATTTAAACCTAGTCCATGAAACAAACAAGTAACATTTCAAAACACTAATAAGGTGGCACAAGAGATTATAAAAAATGAATTGCAAGAAACTGCTACTCTTGGGTCTTGCTGGCTAGAAGCTAAAATGGTGGCAGCTGCCATGGAAAACAGTATAGTAGGGATTCCTCAAGATTAGATGCAGGGTGAGGGAGTCACTCAGGGTACAGCATGTGCTTAGCAAGTGCACAGCTATGGATTCCATCCTCAGCACCAAACAAACAAAATCAGATGGATAATTACTATATACCCAGCAATATCACTTCTTGGATATACACCCAGAAGAACTGAAAGCAGGGACTTTTTTTGGTTTTGTTTTTTTTTTTTTTTTTTGGTGGTACTGGAGTTTGAACTCAGGGCCTCCTACTTGCTGGGCAGGGACTCTACCACTTGAGCCACTCTGCCACTGGGAAAGCAGGCTCTTTAACAGAGATTTGTATACCAACATTTATAAAAGTATTATTTACAAGAGCGAAAAGGTAGAAATAACCAATGTCCATCAACAGGTAAACAAGTGTGGAATATACATATAATGTATTGTTATTCAGCCTTAAAAAAGAAGACAATTCTGATGCATGCTACAACATGGATAAGGCTTGAAGATGCTATACTAAGTGAAATAAGCCAGTCACAAAATGGCAAATACTGTATGATTCCACTTTTAAGAGGTACCAAAAATAGATAAATTTATAGACAGAAACTGAATGGTGGTTGCCAGTGGGGATTTATGTTTAATGGAGACAGGTTTCAATTTGGGCAGATGAAAAGTTTTAGAGATGGATGATGATGATGGTTGCACAATTATGTGAATATACTTAATGCACAGAGCTGTACACCTAAAAATGGTTAAAGTGGTCAAATTTATGTTATATTTTATCACAATAAAAAAATCCTAAATAAAATTTGTTTCCTGCTCCTTCATTTATATTATCTTGAAGTTTACCTGTGGTTTTAGAATTTTAAAAAATGGAAAGAAAGCAATTGTAACTTTTCCATTAAAATACATCTGCAATATCTATGTATACACACAGAAGTTGTTTCCGCAGTGTGGTGGCTATCACGCTCACCTCACACAAATACTCTGTGCTATGTTAAAGATCACAGATTCCTCCAGCATCTCTTTAGAATCTTAGTGAACGTACTGATCAACAGGCAGAAAGAACTGAACTGTACAATGTGACTGACTCTACACCTGTTTAACTATTATTTACTATCAAAAGTTCTGTGTGACCAAGCAATAAACATTTCTATTCACAAGAAACAGAGATAAAGTCTAGATAATATCAGAATGCTCAGAAGAACTCACTCACTGTTTCCAGTATACAGCAATGACATTCAACTCATATTAATAACATAATACCTTAATTTCTCTTTTTGTTTCAAAGGTGTTCTAACTCATTTAATAACCCATTCTCATAAAACACATCTATTGAAGTTCTCCTCTATTTAAAAGTTACAAAGGAGTTATATGCCTCACTAGACAGAATCTTGATTACACGATGGCTATGCCTGGTAATGCCAGTTGCAAGCTTATTGATTTGTAAATAACACTGAAATATTTTGAATGCATTTCTAGACTGTATATATTGGCATAGCATAGAAAGCTAAAAAGACTAAAACGCCATTGAAGTAGTCACTAACATATGAAGAAGAAACCATCACAAACCTTCTTGAGAAGACACAATGGGTGGTAAGTAATCAGGAATGTATTCCTTTCTTTCCTCTGCATCTTTACTTCCAGGCTGAGGAAACTGAAGTACATTGTTCTTACTAACAGGAAACGAAGGAATTTGATGTGGAAAAGTGACAGGTTCAATATTATGAATATAGTCTTCTAGTTCATGCAGACTGACCCCCATAAGTTGGAAAGCTTCACCAACATCATCCAAAATTGGGTCTGTTCGGCCATCTGAAACAAAGTCAAAAGCAAAGCAAATCATTTTAGGAAAATCCCATGATTATGTTTTAAATATCAAGAAAAATGTAGTAAGTAAATATGACGCTCAGAATCATATATATATATATATATATATATATTTTTTTTTTTTTGGTAGTAATGAGGTTTGAACTCAGAGCCTTATGCTTGCTAGGCAGGCGCTCTAGCACTTGAGCTACTCAGCCAGCCCCAAATAAACTATTTATTTAAAACCTAACTACTGAAAAGAATTTAATAAACTTTAAAGAATACCATATTACTTAAATAATATGAATCTGATTCTTAAAGTCCATTTTAAATATGTAAATATAATCTAGCAACTAACCAAAACACCATAATGACACTAACAATCGGCTTGTATGTTAAAGTTAATTTATGGATAGTCGCAAGTATCCTTTTGAGGCAGACATAAAATAAGTGCCCAAAAAATATTACTATTTTTATCATCAGTTAGCTAGTATGCTTCATGCTTGCAAAGCAGGCATGCTACCACTTGAGCCACACTTTCAATCCATTTTGTTATTTTGGAGACTGGGGGATGGGGTGGGTCTTGAGAACTATTTGCCCAGAATGACACTGAACTTTGATCTTCCTGATTTCAGCCTCCCAACTGGCAACTCTTCTACTCTTACTAAAGTCATTAATTTCTCAGTCTAAAAAACAGAGTCATATTAATTTTTTCTACATACTTTACAGTCTCAATCCAAGACTTTCTGATGCTCCCCTCCCTTTTTCTTGTCATGAATTTCAGTTTTTTTTCATTTTTTTGTGTGTTGGGGGGAGTTCAACTGGTTGAACTCAGAACCTACTGCATGCTAAGCAGATGTTCTACCACTTGAGCCATGCCCCCAGTCTTTTTTGCTTTGGTTGTTTTTGACATAGGGTCTCTTTATGCCCAGGCCAATGTGGACAACAATCTTACTATTTGTGCTTCCTTGAAAAGCTAGGATGACAGGCATGCCACCACCAGACATTAGTTGAGATGGGATCTCATAAACTTTTGGCCAGACTGGACTTGAACCACAATCCTCCCCATTTCTGCCTCCTGAGTAGCTAGGTTTACAGGCTTGAGCCATTGTACCTGGTCTTCAGATTTTCATACCCTGTATTCCTAGTATCACTATATCAGTATGGAGTAGACTCTACTTATTCATGGGGAATATGTTCCAAGACCCTCAGTGGATGGCTGAAACCTTAGATAGTATCAAACCCTATTATATACTATGCCTTTTTCCTATATATAACATATGCATGATAAAGTTTAATTTATTAATTAGGCATAGTAAGAGATTAAGAATAAGAACTAGTAATAAAATAGAAAAGTCACAACATACTCTAATAAAAGTTATTAAAGATTTATGGATGATTTTTAGAATACTCTATTTAATATTCAGACCAAATTTGACTGAGGGTACAGAAAGCAACAGTGGGGATAAGGGGGCACTACTGTAGTTTCAAATTCTGCCTACCTGAATCTCTCTGGCACTTCAGTATAATCTTCTTAAAGTACTGCTTTCATCATAGTATTCCCCAACTTAGGAGCATAAAATGTTTTACACCATATTTTGCTTCTTTTTATTTATTTATTTTTCTTGGGTTTTTGAGACTGAGTCTCTCTAGTTAGCCTAAGCTGGTCTCAAGTTGAAGATCCTCCTGCTTCAGCCTCCTGAATGCTGAGATTACAGACAGGCACCACCATATCCATCCCATGTTTTACTTCTTTTATAAAGCTTTTATGCCCTTATTTTACTCTATTTAATATTTTCCTTGAATATCCTTCCAATGAACTAGCTACACATGTCATACTGGTCACTTTAATGGATACTTTTATCACTCTCATATGGACATCTTATTTTATGCTATTCTCTAGCCTAGAATTCTCTCTACCTTTATACAGCCCTAGCTCAATTCAAACCTCATCTTTTCTTTGACGTAATCCTTCCTGGAATCCATTGCCCACAAACACCTCTCCTTTATCTTACTCTTTTTTACATTTACTGCCTGTGCCATGAAATTATTAAGTTATAGTTCTAGTCTTAAAGAGTCATTTGTAAAAGATTTAGCACCTGCTTTCAGTGCCTGCACATATATTTCATACATAGTACAATACAAACAGAAATATCTGCTCCTGAATATTTGGAGAAATAGTCACTGTAGGAATATTTAAAATTCATTATTTTTTTTAATTAATAGTAACTTCCAGTTCTTGCTTTAACTTGACAACATTACTTTTAGGAAAAGAAACAAATACCATCTGTTGGTGTTGACATTCTGACACTCTTGTACATGACCTGTGGGCATAGATTATATCTTAGTAATTTTAGTCTCCAACACCCAGCACAGGGCTCAGTTCATAAATGGTATTCAATAAATGTTTGTCAAAAAGAAAAAGAGGTAGAATACAAGATTTCATACTGGTAACCTCAGGTTACAGAATTCAATTTTAAAATAAGGATAGTATAGGAAAAAGAACCTAAAAAGTCTGTCTATTAATTATATCTAAATTAGCATTTTTAAAAAGTCACCAGACCACAATTGGGAATGATGACCCTGACAGACACATTCTCACTAAGACCCAAGAAAACTGACTAGAGAAACTGAGTAAATAGCAATAAGGTTCACATTAAAGCACAATGACCCTTTGATACTTTGGAATACCTACATACACGAACTGCCAGCACATGGATAGGGAACAAAAGGTAACTAAGTATTCAGCAAAAATATAATCCGGACTACCTGTAATAGTAACAATATACTCAAAGAACATGGATGGGGCCCGGAAGCAAAGAAGCAAAGGCCAGGAGAGTATTCTGCTAGTAGTATTCTTTCAAGATGACAGAGAATAGATGCTATTTTGAAGCTCCCAATTAGAAGTATCACCAAAATCAAGCATTCAAAAAACAGACATTTATAAACTCAAAAGTGATGCTAATAAGCAGCTATCATGGCAGTAGATTTGTCAGTTCATTCGTTTATTCAAAAAAATATTTCCTGAGTGCCTACTACATTTTGCTCCCCTACTAGAATACAAATAAAATCAATTTGTCCCCCAGGGAGGGGAAAGAGCCATACTACACAGTTGATTATAAAGCAAAGTGATAAATAACATAGCAGAAATATGCACAGGATTAGGAGAGCAGATAACGTAAGTTCCCTAGAGCAAGTGATAAATGAATCTCCAAACATGAGTACTACTACTTGTGGACCAGGACATAAGACACTCAAGAAAACAGCGTGTGTGTAAGAGTGGATAACTTAAAATGTTTCAGAAAAGGTGGGCAGCTCAAATTGGCTGCACATTAGTATGTCAGGGTAGCAGAAGAAAATGCTAGTTCACAAAGAGAACTGTGTGCGGTTATGAGTTTAGATTTTTAGACTGTAAGCAGTGGAGTGCACTTGAAATATCTTAAAGAAAAATTACAGGATCAGATCTGTGTTATGAACAGGATCAGATCTGTGTTATGGACAGATTACTCTGGCAGCATATGAAAATGATAATGGCATTTGGGGACTAAGAAGTACAGTTACGTCTTTAAGTCTCAACTTCTTAATCTATGACAACCTTAAAACAAATTATTCTATGAAACAGTTCATGCAGTTGTCCAACTTACCACCATAAAAGTCATAACCTGAAATGTGAATGAATGGTACCCCTTAAAACACACACATATGCACGCATCACACATCCACAAAATGATGCTCAGCTGTTAAAATATCCCAAACTATTAAACACCACCAGCTATAGATACTTCCAGACAGTCACTTAAAAGCCATAATTACAGCAGCCCAGGCTACCTAAAGAACCTTGCAAATTGCCCCACTTTGATAACCACTGTCAAAAAAAAAAAAAAAAAAACCCATAAAGGAGAAAGTCAATGGGCAAGTGAAACGGTCGTGGAAGTTAATGGGGTGAGCCAAAGTGACAAGGGCGGTCTCGAGAAAGACTTGAGTGGCGATACTGTCTGAGAAAGGGGCAGAGACAGAAAGGAGAGGCAGGGTCCCTCACGGAGCAGAGCTGTCACCGAGTCTGTGTGCATGTAGTCAGGAGCTCCAGAATGGCCAGCCTTGTAAGAAACGGCCGGTAGACGGAGCGCCTGTGACAACTAGTTGTAGTAGTTTGCGGGCGAGGGAGGAGAGGGACCACAGCAAAAGAGGGTGCAGAGCATTCTGGGGGTGGCGGCACCAGCAGCAAACCCGAGACAATGAGAAGGGACCGAGGCGCATTTCAGAGCCGGGGGCAGGGGAGAGGGTGTGGTGCTGCGAGCGAGGGGACACGGCTCCCGGGCTGGTGGCGGGAAGTTAGCGGATGAGGAAGAGACACCCGAGGGATGACGAGAGTTTGCAGGGGCAGTGGAAGCCCAGGAGGAAGACGGAGACCCAGGAGATAGCCCCATCTCCGGGCGGGGTGCAGAACGCAAAGCCCGGGGACGCGGAGAGAGGGGACCGGGAGCCCGAGGTGTCACTCGTGACTGGCCGGGGCAGCCCTCCCGCACCCAGCCCGGTACTCACAGAGTTCAGAGTACCGATGGCAGCCCCGGCCCAGCTGCTGCAGATAGCGCTGCAGCACGTCCGTGAGGAGGTGGCAGGCGCTGAGCTGCACCGAGTCCCAGCCCAGAGCCTGGCAGATCTGCGCCACCGAGACCCTCAACAACGACCTGGAGTAACTCTCGCACATCCCGCTGCGTGGACGCCACCGCAGCCCTCGCTGCCACTTCTCTCCAGCCCCGCCGCCTGACGTTAGCAGAGTCCCCGGTTCATTCTCAAGGGCTCCCCGCGGCGGGGAAACCGTCCCCCCCCTCCCAGACCCCAGGCGACCACCTCAAAGCCCCAGCAGCACCGAGCGCGCCAGCCTGAGAGCCGCCATTTTGGACTCGCTCCGCCTCCCGCTGGACGGCCGCCGGGACAAGGCAGCACGAGCCGAATGCCGCCAGCGCTGATGGGAAAACCACGCCCCCTGGGGGCGGGGCGATGACTCGGGGATCGACTGTCAGGCCTGGAAGCCGGCCGGAAACGGAGCCGTTGAGCGCTGGAGGAGGATGCGCCCCATGGGCTGCAGGTGCTACGGCTCCCGGGGCGTCAGTGTTTTCAGGGTCCAACGAGGAGGCTGGTGCACGATACGAAAATGTAAGAGCGTTACGGGAATAATGCTAATATTGCTAGAGAGTTGAGTGTTAACAAGTTTGGGGCAGGGGGAATTTAAAATGCTCCACCGCACAAAAAAATAAAAATAAAAGCTATTTGCCGTTGTATATAATTTGAATAAAACCCAAGCTGTTTGCTTGGGAGGCTGATGAAGACAGGCTGGGCTACGTAGCGAGATCTTGTCTCAAAAAACAAACAAACCAAAAAAAAAAAAAAACCCAAGCTGTTCAGCAACGCCCTTCCCAGTAGGGCTGGCGTTAGGCGGAGGATCCTTCAAAAGGCAGTAATCAGACCGGCGCCGGTGGCTCACGCCTGTAATCCTAGCTATTCAGAGTCAGCGATCAGGAGGATCAAGTTCGAAGCCAGCCCGGGCAAATAGTTCGCGAGACCGTATCTTGAAAAACCCTTCACAAAAGTAGGGCTTCAAGGTGAAGGCCATGAGTTCAAGCCCCAGTACCGGGAAAAAAAAAAAAAAAAGCAGTAATTCAATATTTTAATGAAAATTTCAAAAAAAAATCGAAGTTCATGATAAAAAAAACTGCTCTCACTGATGGTATTCCAGTCTCAGCAAAACCCCCTTCTCCTACCCCCCCATCCTTCTCGCACCCCACAAACACAGGCGGGCTGTCAGCAGAGGCAGGGGTTTGCCAATTGGCACATTGCCAGCTACTATGACCTATCCAGGAAACAGGGAAGCCAATTTCCTACAGAGACCAAACAGGTACTTTAAATTCATGACATGGGCGCTTTCCCAGGAATGGTTACCTGCTCCAGAGTCTTTTCCTAGCTCTAGCAAAGTATTGTTGGATCTTTCAAAAATGTCTGACGTTGGGATGTTGTGATAAAGAGTTTGATTTTTAAATACCGGGAATAAAATTTTGTTTTGTTATGTTTCTGAGTTGGGGTCTTGATATGTTTCCCAAGCTAGCCTCCAACCTCTGGGCCCAAGTGGTTCCCCACACTCAGCCTCCCCAGCCTTCCTGGTAAATAGGACTATAGGTCCCAGGCCTAGCCAATTGGGAATAAATTTAAACGTTTTAAATTGAAGCCAAACTAATCTGGTGAATGAGTTGGCTAATCCTAATCTAGTTTGAATCATCAGCCTGTGAGTAGTCAGATTATAATGGCTGTTTTACTCCATTTCTTAAATATTCCCTTCTGTATGTATCACAGCATATTCAGTATATGAATATTATGTGGATTATTGGCTCCCCCAATAAAATGTGTTCCTGAGTAGTTCTATCTTCCTCCTACAGGAACTCTTCCAGAATGTTGAACATAATAGATAATCAATTTTTTAAAAGTCTTGAAAACCTAATAGATGTGAAAATATGGTACTGCAGCCAAATGACAATCTGCAAAGAAAGATTAAGGTATTAGGTGGCACCAAGCTTAAAATGTTTACTTGATTGATGCTTCTGTCCCTAAGATTATTAGGGATGCAAAATCTGTGAGACACTTTTTCAGCCGTAGCCTTACTTGACCATTTTTATAGCTATTTGATAATACTAAACATTTCCTTAATTTGAAACTCTCTTGTACCTTGGATTTTACAACCCCTTTCCCTAACTACCTCTTCATTTGCCTGCGTATAGTGGGAAAATCTCAACCCTACTGAAGAGTTGAAATAAAAAGTATGATTCACCAATTGTTAACATTTTTCCATGTTTACTATGTATTTTTGTATTTATACATACTCACTTTTTTCCACAACAGTTTGAAAATAAGTTGCAAATTCATGACACTTAACTCTATATACTTCAGCATGTATCTACCCCCAAACAAGCCTGTTCCCCTGCACAACCATATGTATGGCCATATGTCACAGGTTTGATTTCCCAGGAGGCCAACTCTGGGATGGAGATCAGCCTGCAGGTTTGTCTAAGAGGACTCCTGAAACACCACATGTGGGAGGGAAAGTGCAAGAGCAGGGCTGCAATGCACAAGGAAGGCCTAGAGTGAGTGCTGAAGCTGGGATAGCTCTTCAGAGTTGTCCTGTGTTGGGACAAGGAGGCTGAACCTTTAAATTGCCATGTTGCCATGATACTACATGAGGACTGTCCAGGAAAGGATGTGTAGTCTTAGGCCCAGGTGGTGGTTGCAATAAAGTTGGTTCCAAGGAAGGCTGAAGTCCTTCAGACCTTAGGGACCCCGAGCAATGCATAACAAGTCTCACCATAGTCTACCCCTGGCCCTCTGAGATCCACATGTTAGTATAAGTTTGAGGCCAGTTTCTCCAGGTTGGGAAGCTGTCATGGGGAAACCATTACAGAGGAGGGTTGGGAAATAAATTACAGCCCCTTCTGCTACAGATGGACCTCAGCTGATACTCATTGTCTTTGCCCACCACTACCCATTCTAGATTTCTCTCACTTCTCTCAGTGGCATACCTGGTGGCATGACCCAGACCTTCATGCACAGGACTTCTGAGCCCCTGTTTTCTTCCTGGTTTCAGACTCTGGCAGCTGAACTTGTCAATGTACCATCAAAACTGAACAAGAGAGCTCCAAGAGGCACCCAAACAGAACACTTCCATACCAAACAGTTAACCCCACTATGTAAGAGCAACCAGAATTTTTCATAATGATCAGAATCAATTGTTCCTGCCTACATGATGATTTCTCTCTTTGCTGTTGCCTCTTAGCTAAAGTATCCAGGTAGCTAATATTTCAGCAGAACTCCTACTATGTTCCTGGTGAAAATATCCCTTTTTTGGAAATTTGACCTATGACCCTGGAGAAGCCCAGAGTTGCAGGGACAGGAACAACTTCCCAAGTAAGTCATTGGGAATGATGATAAACAGAGAAACTCCAGCTTCCATCCCATGTCACCTACCGGTTGAGAACCCAGAACCGTAGAAAAGGCATTGAATTAAGGTGTGCTCAGCATCCTGAAGGATCCTCCCAAGGTCCTAACTGCAAGCTAGTGCTTTAGCTGTGCCTATAAAAGGTCACTCCTTGCTTTGCCCGGCTGACAGCTTCTGAGTGGTATCTTATGTCACATCACCAGTGGATTCATGGCCTTGTGCCTACTCTCATACTTCCTTTGTTGTAAAATGAGTCCCCTCGGGCTAAAGAAACATAATATGGGACACCAGTGGATCAGGCACTGTGAGCAGAAAAGGCAAGTCCGAACCCAGAATAAGATCTGTTTCTTACTAAAAAAAAAAAAAAAAAGACTGCTCTTTCTAGGATCAAAGATCGATGCAGTCAACTTGGTCTTCTCAGGGAGTCTAACATGTCTGCTTGCTGGGCTCACACCTATAATCCTGGTTACTCAGGAGGCAGAGATCAGGAAGATTGAAGTTCAAAGCCAGCCCAAGGCAAATAGTTCTTGAGACCCTATCTTGAAAAAAACCCCACCACAAAAAAGGACTGGTGGAGTGGCTCAAGGTATAGGCCCTGAGTTCAAACCCCAGTACTGCAAAAATAATAATAATAATAAGCGTTTTCTTGAGATTCTATAAAACAATACTATAGACTGTGTGGGCTTAAACCATAGACTCTTATTTTTCCACAGTTGTAGCGATTGGACATGAGATTAATATGCTGGCAGGTTTGGTTTTCCCCGAGGCCTCCCTCCTTGACTTACAGACAGCTGCCTTCTCAGTCAGTGTCCTCATTGTGGCCTCCTCTCTGTGTATATAGCCCTCATGTCTCTTCCTCTCCTTCTAAGAACAAGTAGTCCGTTGGGTCAAGGCCCTGCCCTTATGACTCAACTTAACTTTACTTTATTTAAAGGCTCCATCTCCAAATACAACCATATTCTGAGGTATACTTGGGGTTAGGTCTTCACATATATATTTGGGAAGGAACACTCCATCACAGAGTATCTGTGGCAAGCAAGTAGCCTAAGACATTGCTCAAAGCTCTGCCAGGAAAAGAAGACCCCTCATTGATCTCTTTCACAGTCACACAAAATGAACTGTGGCACAGTCTTCATCCATTTTTAACTTGTATTTGCATCCCAAGTCATCTCCTCCATGAGCTAAGTTTGGTTTTTTGTCTATCAGGTAGTCGTAAGGAACTGCTTGTAGCTGATGGTCTAAGGTTAGCAAGAGATGCTGGTGCCATGTTAATGAAGGCATTGGAGCTGGCCTTTCATCTCTTGCTTGAGCCCTGTGGACCCTGCTCATGATGTACCTGGATGGACACTTTTGCCTTATGACAGAGTGGTGCCATTCCCAACCTTTTGACTTGGGGGTTCTGTTAGACCCAGCTCATGATGAGCAGTTCTGGCAGTTCCCATGATCAGACAGGTCATCTCTCCCTGGGTCCAGTAATATGCCAGGACCTGCTTTTCCATATGTGTATAATTCTCTACCACACATGTCATGGCCTTACTCCAGCATGTGGGAGATCTACATTGTGATTTACCCTTTAGGACTTGTGATAAACTCCACATGCATTACTTGCTACTACAGGTGCCTCTAATACCACAGAGTCCATCATAGCCTTGTAAGAGGGAAGCTTGCATGAACTTGCTATAGAACCCTTTCTTGTTCTGGGCCTGAACTTTGTCATCAGCATATAGTTCAGAAAGAATTCCTAGGTAGGTGTGACATATTCTGCTTCTAGAAGGCAAAGAAGCCTACTAGGCATGGTACTTCCTTCTTTGTACTGAAAGGTACAAGACACAATCATTTACTTACCTGTTGCTTTGTAGGAAATATGTTAGCATGATCAGGCCACTAAACTGCTACAAACCTTACTCATATGGTAGACCCCTGAATCTTTGTAGTTTATCT